GCGCGAGCTTTCGCAAAGTCTCCGTGGGGCGTGGCGACGCGGACCTGAGCTGTTGCCAAAAGCACGCAAGGCATAGCCTGTCATTTTGAAGCGGAATGGAACACCGTTGCTTCGGTGGCGGTTGAGGAGGAAGTAGAGGCGACCGAGGAGTCGTCCTCCGTTGATTTCGAGCCCGAATTACTCGATTGCTTGTTAGCTTGGTGGATGCTAGTGTGGTGTTTATGTCCACACTTTAAGCATCGTTTTGTGACTCGACATACAGAAGATCGATGAGGACCGAGACAATTATAACAGAGCTTGTGTTTCGTAATAATAGCAAGGCGTTGAGGAACAGTCTTAGAACCGTATTGAGGGCATTGTGCAATATAGTGCTTCGAAGAGCAGATCGTACAAGTATTTACTTTAGCAGCCTTGCTATCCTTCGATCTACCCTGAAAGTGCGATTTAGCAGAGGCTTGATTGGCGGAGTTCGCCGATTTCCCTGGACGGGATTTTTCAAAGGCTTGCAGAGAGAGCAGGCGAGAAATCAAGAACGTACTAAATTGATCCCAGGTAGGAGGATCCTTCGAAGAACCAAGATGATGCTCCCATGCCTTTACCGATTCCGAGTCAAGCCGTTGAACGGCCGTAAAAACGAGAACATCATCCCAGTGCTGTACAGGCCTGTCTAAAGTTTCGAGCGTTCGGTAAATCTGCATTATGTTAGTATACAGCTGCTCCATTTCGCCGGCCGATTCCTTGCTCATCCGCTTCAAGGAAACCAACGAATGGAGGGCAGCGTTAACAAGTAGTCGCTTATTCTCGTAAAACGAAATCAAGGCGTCCCATGCCTTCTGAAAATTATCGGCAGTCAGAGTCGTATTCTTTAAGAGCAGCGCAGCTGATCCGATCAAACTCGTCTTCAAATATTGAAGTTTTTCAACGGAAGTAAGTGTAGGATTCAAAAGAACCAACGAGCTAAACAGGTCCTTGAAGGACAACCAGTCGGCAGGAGTCCCGTTAAATTTCGGAATATCAATACGCGGTAAGCGCGCATGATGAAAATATGTAGCATTACTCGTGCCCTGAGAATTAGATTGCGTCAAAGAAGAATGTGTCGACGGCTCCCGTTCCGACTCGAGAAAAGAGCTCATACGCTCGATGGCTTCGAGATAACATTCGTGTGTCGATGAGAAAGAATTCCCTGAGAAGTAAGAATGTGCGAGCGCAGTCTCCTTATCCGCAGTGTCTAATTCGCTTATGGCAAGATTGACAGCTTGATGCTGCAACAAGAACTGCTCCCAAGTTTCCTTTAGGGAAGCGAGACGCGCGTGTATACGTTGCGACGTAATGTTCGCCTGACCGACCCTCTCCAAGTTTTCCGCGGCATGAGAAATCAAATCGATGAACGTAAGCTGCTGCTCTAAACGCGTTACAATATGATTAAGTCTCATCCTGAAAACCGATCTCCGTATCCGGCTCGAAGGACCAAAA